TATACTAAAGCTTAACCTACGCGACTCTTTGACCTAGGAGTTCTATTCTGAGTATATAATCAGTAGATACGTGTATATATATATGTTCACCAAAAGATGTGTAAGAAATGTTTCTAACAGTACTAATTGTAATGGCACCATACTGGAAAGAACCCAAATTTATATCACCAGTAGAGTGGACACATTGTGATATTCTAATTCAATGGCATACTGTGCAACTAAGAATGATTAGCTGTTGTATTATGTAATAACCTGAATAAATCTCACAAAGATAACAATGAAGAAGCCACTCACAAAAGAGCATATATCCTATGATCTCATTTTAATATGGTTCAGACATAGATAAAATGTATTCATAGTGTTAGAAAGTAGGGTATTGGTTACCTTTGATGGTTGATAGTGACTGATGGACTCTGAGAAGGCTTCTATAATGCTAGTAATGTTAAAACATGATTTGAGTGTTGATTATACAGAAAATTTATGTTATATGTTATGATTTTTGTACTTTTCTATGTGTATGTTACACTTAAGTAAAAATTTAAGCAGGGGGTAGAACTTAAATGGCTTTATTTTCCATAACTTTTAACTATGATTTTCTAAATAGGTATTCAAATGATTTCTAAGTTAAAGACTATTTTCAAAGTAAATATTTTCTTCTTTCTCAATGGAAATGTCACCAGTAACTTGAGTTGTTTCCGGAGCCCTGGTATCATCCCAGGCTGTCTAGTTTCTTTAAGCAGATGTGCCTATTAATAGGGGTCTAAAGCAAAACAGTAAGAAAAAGAACTTTCCCAACTATTTCATGAGGGCTGCCCTGGTAACAGCGAGAATTTTCCTCTTTTCACTCCTATTATTACTTGCTCCAAAAAGTTAATATATGTTCATTGCTTACTCTGTGTTCAAGCAGCATTACCCCATTCAGTCCTCATAACAGGAGTCTGTTGTATCAAAGAGGAAAAATGTATCTGAATTAGTTAGAATGAATAAAGTCATTTCAGGTACCGTGTCACTAGGGCCTTGAGGAGAAATAAATAAAGTTGGGAGTTTGGGTGGATACTAAATGATACTAATTTTTTACCTACCAAAAAATAAAACTAAAGTCTCACTTGTGGCTGACCTGTTGTAAAAGGAAAATACAAGATGGTTTTTCGCCTCTACCCCCACAGTCACTCAGTACAATACATCTGACACCAGATGTGTGGGAGTTTGTTCCCGACACACCAAGCAGTTCTCCTGCTGGATGTCCTATAATTCAGTGCTGACAGTGTCTACATGGGGATAGTATCAGATCCCATGACACAGTCCCACAAGGCTGCCCCCACTTCAGATGCCAGTTGCAAGTAGTAAGTTGTGACCTGTACTTCTGATTGAGTGATGGTAAATTGGGATTCTTGTGACCCCCCTCCTCAGTTCGATTAATTTCCCAGAGCACTTTACAGAACTCAGGGAAACACATTTACCCACTTATTATAAAGAATATTACAAAGGATACAGATGGGTGGGACCCTCATGGAGAACCTCTGCTAGGGCAGTGTGGAAGGGAAATGTGGGGTCAGAGCCACCACGCAGAGTCCGTACTGGGGCACTGCCTCATGGAACTGTGAGAAGAGGGCCATCATCCTCCAGACCCCAGAATGATAGATCCACTGACAGCTTGCACTGTGTGCCTGGAAAAGCCATAGACGCTCAACACCAGCCTGTGAAAGCAGCCAGGAGGGAGGCTGTACCCTGCAAAGCCACAGGGTTGGAGCTGCCCAAGGCTGTGGGAGCCCACTTCTTGCGTCAGTGTGACCTGGATGTGAGATATGGAGTCAAAGGAGATCATTTTGGAGCTTTAAGATTTGACTCCCCCACTGGATTTCAGATTTGCATGCACCCTAATAATTCAACCAAAAAATGGGCAAAAGATTTGAATAAACATTTCTCAAAAGAAGACATACAAATGCCAAACAGGCACGTGAAAAGGTACTCAACATCATTGATCATCAGAGAAATGTAAATCAAAACTGCAGTGAGATATCATCTCATTCCAGTTAAAATGTCTTATATGCAAAGTCAGGCAATAATAAATGCTGGCAAAGTTGTGGAGAAAAGGGAACCCTTGTACACTTGGTGAGAACGTAAATTAGCACAACCACCATGGGGAGCAGTTTGGAGGTTCCTCAAAAAACTAAAAATAGAGCTACCATAGGATCCAGCTCACTGCTGGGTATATATTCAAAAGAAAAGAAATCAGTATATCAAAGAGATGTCTGCACTCCCATATTTGTTGCAGCTCTGTGTAGAATATCCAAGATTTGGAAGCAACCTAAGTGTTCATCAGCAGATGAATAATAGATAAAGAAAATGCGGTACATATACACAATGGAGTACTAGCAAAAATAATGATATTGTCATTTGCAACAACATGGATGGATAGAACTGGAGATCATTATGTTAAGTGAAAGAAGCCAGACACAGAAAGACAAATATTGTACGTTCTTACTTAATTTTAGGATCTAAAAATCAAAACAATTGAAGTCATGGACATAGAGAGTAGAAGGATGGTTACGAGAGACTTGGAAGGGTAGTGGGGGGCTGGAGAAAGGTGGAGATGATTAATGGATACAAAAAAATAGAACGAATAAGACCTACTATTTGATAGCTCATTATGGTGATTATAGTCAATGATCATTGAATTGTACATTCAAAAATAAGTAAAAATGTATAATTGGATTGTTTGTAGCACAAAAGATAAATGCTTGAGGGAATGGATACCCCATTTTCTTTGAAGTGATTATTGTGCATTGCATGCCTGTATCAAAACATTTCATGTACCCCACAGATGTGTATACCTACTGTGTACCCACAGAAATTAAAATAAATTATAGCTAGACAAAATTAACTATATATATTAACTATAATAATTTTGTTGTCACCTCCTTGTGGTGAGGTCAAGTGTTTTGAGTATCTGCTTAAATTGCTATGTCCTGCTAATTGCTATGTCCCCATGAGCAAAAAGTAATCTCTCCTGGTTCTTACGTATTTTTCATCATGTTTACTCAATATCGTAATCCTTGAATAACACCATGGTAACTCCCATACCAAGTGCCACTAGTGATGGTAGAAGTGCCCCCAAGAAGCAGAGAATGTCATGACATTACCAGCAAAAGTTGAATCACTTGATAGGTACCTTAGATTGAGATCTGCAGCTGTGGTTGCTTTCCATTTCAAGATAAGTGGATCCAGCATACAGACCGTTGAACAGCAAGAAAAGGAAATTTTTGGGAAATTTCATGAAGTCGTACCCCAGCAGGCATGAAAACGTTATTTCACATATTTTGTGAAATATGAAATATGTGTTAATTAACTATGTCATTGGTAAGGCTTCCATCAATAGTAAACTATTAGTAGATTTGGGGAATTCAAAGTTATGCATGAATTTTCAGCTGCCTGGAGGGTTGGAGTCCCAAACTCTATGTTGTTCAAGGATGAACTGTAGTTATATGTCCACTTAGCCATCTAACATTGATTCCAGGAAGGAACCTTGGATTGTGGATGTGTAGAAAGGTGCCCTACATAGGAGCAACTATAGCAAGAAGCCTTTTGTTTACATTTTACTCCTTTCCCCATAGGATCACCTGTGAATAGTGGGATGACTATTCATTTCAATAAACTAGGGATAGTCCTGGTTTATAGCTGTTGTTCCAGGCTGTTATTACATTATGATGATACTGCATCCTATTATATAATTTAGTATTAATAGCTGTTTCTTTTTACTTTTAATACTGCCCCATTTGGGATGATAAATTGTATGGTCACGTTATCTGAAATTACCACTGAAAGGGGTGGTGAGAATAGAAATGGGAATAGAATAGTTGGTGACAACTATGCAGTGTGGAATTTAAGAGACTGATTTTTGAAGGTTTGCATCAGGGATCATCAAGACCATCTCAATCATTTACTAGGATGCACTGGACTCAGAAGTTGCTATATTCATGCTATGGTTTATTATAGTGAAAGGATACAGAGTAAAGTCAGCAAAGGCACATGGGATGAAGTCTGGAAGACTCCAGTTGCAAGCTGTCAGGTGTTCCTTTCTACTGGAGTTACACAGGACATGTTTAATTTCCCCCAAAATATGTGATAATGTGTACAGAGTATTCCCAACCAGGGAAGTTTACCCTGGGGGTCAGTCACATAGGTATGTCATGCCTGCATGACTGACCTTGGCTACTTAAGCTTCAGATCCTCAGAGAAAAAGCTTATATTCACTGTAAATCAACATTATTAACATAAAGTCCCTGCTCATACTGGTACAGCATGGCCCAAGACCTCCAGCACACAAAAACACTCTAATCGGACAACTTTCTGAAAGGTCGGAGCTTAGTTCTCAGGAGCTGGCCAAGGGCTAGTCCTGAAAATAGTCCATTTATGGGAATGTGCAGAGTTTGAACAATGCAAGCTTGTTGAGATGACCCTTTTCCACACGATGTCATACAGGTTACTCAGTTTAGAGTTTGTACCCAGGTAAGTCTGATGCCAAGGTCTGTGCTTTTTCCGTAAGTAGTTTTTAGTGGTCTTTTATACTGATTTGATAATTAAAAGTTACTGGCTACATTAGATATAGTAGGGAGTTGAACTGTGCCTCACCTCTCTTGATAGATATTTCCTAATGAGCTTTCTTCCCCCACTCATGTCAAAATAAGGAGAGTTAGTTGAGTATTTTTAAGTGATTTTGTAAGAAGTGGTGCTAAGACTTTCTAGTTTTAGTGATTTTCAAAAAAAGTTTATTTTGTTTTCTATACTTACGTATTGAAAAGTAGTTTATCTGTAGTTAAACTTGGTATTTTTAGGACTCTATTCTTTTTTTACTTTTTTTATATTTAATACAATTTTTAGTTTGAAAAAGATAAATGTATTATACAAAATTTTAGTTCATAATTAAGAATTGCCTTCCTTATAGATAACAGGTTTGAATAAATTTAAACAGTCTCAAAACCTTTTTTCTTTTTCCATAGGTATTTGTGGAAACATTAGACAAATGTTTTGAAAATGTCTGTGAACTGGATTTGATTTTCCATGTAGACAAGGTACTATTTCTATTGTCACATCTAAGCTTTTTTAAAAAAAAACATTAACTTACAATTGTCATAGCAAAAGTGGCTTTAATGAATAATTATTTTTTTCTTTTATTTTATTCTTTTATTATTCAGTTCATAAATTGTTTTTACTATGAGTCAGGCTTTGTGCTTGGTGGAGAAGATTCAGATCCTTCCTTAGAGGAGTTCACATCTAAGGGCGGAAACAATGGCATTAACAAATAATAATAGTATGTACAGGATGTCAATGGGGACACAGCTGAACCACTTACCTCTCCCTAGGAGACTGTGAAGGGGGGAAATTACATTTAAACTGGATTTTTAAGGGATTAGTAGATATTTCATACATAGAAAAGGAGAGGATGGTCCTACTGGCAGAGATACAAAATATAGGCCTTTTTGTGAGGAGGGACTGATATTGATCAACAGGCCTAATTTAAAAGAACCATTAATGCCATGACTTTGAACTTTATTGTGAGGCAATTTAATGTTTTTAAACAGGTTTTTACTGACATTATTATTGCTTTGTTTGTATATATTTTTGATAGAATGATTTTTTCTTGTGTTATGGAGATTGGATTGATAGGTTGAGAAATTAAACACAGGGAAGTCAATTAAGAGTTTATTGCAGTAGTCCAGAAAGAAATGACTAAGACACTACCATGAGGTTTGAAAGAAGGTAAGACACTAAGATGAGGTTTGGGAGAAGGTAGAAGTGATAGGATTTGATGGCTTATTGAAAGCTGGAGGTGAGAGAAAGAATGACAGATTTCTACCAGTATTGGTTGATACTTGTGATACGGAACTTAGGAGGAAGAGATTCCACTTGCACTATGTGCAGATTTTATTCTGTATTAAGTTTATATAATCTAAGAGATTCTTTATGAGTGATTCAACTATTGAATAAGATAGTCTGAAAATTTTAGCAAAAAAAAAAAATGCAGTGTGATTTTTAAAAATTGGCTTTATTGAGGCATAATTTACAGGTGTTAAAAGTCAACAGGTTTAAGCTTACAAAACTAAGATTTGACAAGTGTGTATAGTACATGTAACCAGCATCACAATCAAAGTGCAAGGCATGAATTTCATTATTTGTGAATGTCAAAAAAATACTTTTCTCTTTAGCCAATATTCTAGATCATATCTCTCATTTACCAAGTGATTTGATTTTATAAATTAATTCACTTTGGACAGAGTACTTAAACATGATATGTTTATGAGTCTGTTTTTAGTGTTGTGTTCTGTTTTTCTCTAATTACTATGTCTAATGCTTTTTCACACTTACAAAGACTCTTGTTATTTTTAGTCATTAGGGTTCACAATACTCAAAATTATGTTTTGAAGACCAGGTGCAAGTGCTCATGTCTGTAATCCCAGTACTTTGGGAGGCTGAGGTCGGAGGATTGCTTGAGCCCAGGAGTTTAAGGCCATCCTGGGCAAAATGGCAAAACCCAGTCTCTACAAAAAATACAAAAATTGGCCGGGCGCGGTGGCTCAAGCCTGTAATCCCAGCACTTTGGGAGGCCGAGACGGGCGGATCACGAGGTCAGGAGATCAAGACCATCCTGGCTAACACGGTGAAACCCCGTCTCTACTAAAAAATACAAAAAAAAAACCTAGCCGGTCGCGGCGGCGGGCGCCTGTAGTCCCAGCTACTCAGGAGGCTGAGGCAGGAGAATGGCGTGAACCCGGGAGGCGGAGCTTGCAGTGAGCTGAGATCCGGCCACTGCACTCCAGCCTGGGCGGCAGAGCGAGACTCCGTCTCAAAAAAAAAAAAAAAAAAAAAAAAAAAATTAGCCAGGTGTGGTGTTATGCATCTGTAGTGCTAGCTGGTTGGGAGGCTAAGGAGGGAGGATCACCTGAGCCCGGGGAGGTTGAGGCTGCAGTGAGCCATGATTGTGCCACTGAACTTCAGCCTGGGTGACGGAGTGAGACCCTGTCTCAAAAAAGAAAAAAATTTATGTTTTGATACATGATTAAAATTTTTAGAAAGCTGTGTTTTAAAATGACTGCTGAGAGGTCATCATTAGCTTATATAAACACATTTACCATCTTTTAAGAAAATTGAGGACTCTGTTGTGAAATGTGGTGGTAAGAATAAGGTTCTTGTATTTTTTTACTAGAGAAAGAGAATAAAAATTTCGAAGAAAATTAAGCTGTACTCATCTGCAACTTCCATACATGATACAAAATGTTTTTAAAACTTCTATTTCTCATTAGTATGTATTCATTTTAGAAAAATCAGAAAATACAGATGAGAAAAATATGTGAAAATCATCCCTATCCCAGAGATTGCCTAGTGTTAACATTTTAGAATATGTATAGTTCTTGATTTTACATCTTTAAAACAAATAATCTTTAAACAAATGCATCTTTAAAACAGTAAAGATGGAATCATACAATATGTATTTTGTGTAGCCTGTTCATTTTACACAACACTATATCACTATTTTAGAACCTGCCAAAATTAACTGTCTCTGTTTTCTCTGGACTAAGATCTTGTTTTATTTTTTCAAGGCAAGGAGACAAAAGTTTTGGGATACCAAGAGTCGGAGATCAAATAAGTATTTCCTTCCTATTCTCCAAGACAATGCTAACTTTGCTTTCAGCCCTTTGATGAAAATTATTTTCAACTTAAAAAATATATATTTATTTTTAAATTTCAACTTTTAAGCTGCTCTGGACCTTCCAGCAGTAGGAATCTTCTGAGTGACTCAGCTCACATTTTCTTTTTTTTTTTTTTTTTTTGAGACAGAGCCTCTCTCTGTCGCCCAGGTTGGAGTGCAGTGGTGCGATCTCGGCTCACTGCAAGCTCTGCCTCTCAGGTTCACGCCATTCTCCTGCCTCAGCCTCCCGAGTAGCTGGGACTACAGGCACCCACCACCACACCTGGCTAATTTTTTGTATTTTTTTTAGTAGAGATGGGATTTCACAGTGTTAGTCAGGATGGTCTTGATCTCCTGACCTCGTGAGCCACCTGCCTCAGCCTCCCAAAGTGCTGGGATTACAGGCGTGAGCCACCACGCCCAGTAACGGCTCACATTTTCTTAAAGGCAAGACCCAGAGAGGTTTACACACAACCCTCAGACTGCTTCTGGGTCACAACTGAGTAGATGAAAAGAGAAAGTTGTAGAGAATACCCCTTCTGTTATCAGTCAGGATGAGTTAATTTATGCTGCAGTAATAAACATGAAAATGTTAACCCCGTGAAACAAAAAAGGGTTATTTCCTATTCACGCAGTATTTTTATCGTATTCCACATGCTGTCATTTTGGGATCCATGGTAACAGAGCTGCCACTATCCAGAACGTTGTTAGTTTCTATGTCAGAAAAAAAGTTTTCATTGGGTAAATTTATCTGCTTTTCAAGGTATCACAGATGATAATTGTACCAAATATTTTGCCACTACAGACATGCATCAGTAACTTCCTAGCCTCGAATACAACAGTTTCCATGGGGCCAGCCGTCCAACCTGTAAACCACTGTCACACATTTTCTTTTATCGTGGTTGTTACCGGTTTCTTTTTATAAATCTTTACATGCTAATAGCTGTATCAATCACATAGGCTAGTGTGGTCACCCTGAAGTAGTGGGACAGACCCGCCCCTACTCACAGTTGGTTTGGATGTAGAGACTAACAATGTCACAGGTGCCCCAAGAGGGTTGGAAAAGGTTTATTACTCACATAATGAGGCTTTCTGGAGAAAGCAGAGAACAACACCAGGCTTGGGTTTTCTGGTGGTTTGGTACTGGGAATGGGGTGAGGATTTCTGCATGTGGGCCAGGTCTTAGCTAGTCTAAACTTTCCACTAGTGTAAAGGAAGGAGCACCCAGACCTTCTTAACAGCTTGCCCAGATATGAGGCAGAAGAGGAATGGAGACTAGTAGAACTTGAAGGCCTTGAGCAGAGAAACATCAAAAATGGAGTCAGATCCATTATCACGTACAGCTAAGTTATGCTGTGGTTATTACCCCTAAAATCCTAAAATATGAATAATTCAGTATGTTTCTTACTTAGACTACATGTTTATTGTGGATTTGCTGGGAGGAGCTGCTGAGTTATCTGCCCATTTCCTGTATAGTGTGACTTCAATTGGGTGGCCCCTTGTTGTTGCCCGTATTGGAACAAAGCATCCAAATCCAAGGCAAAATGAGACAGCTAAAGGGCTTGATTTGGAGGATGTATGACTTTGATAATGACAGCTATTAATATACTCTGTTCTCCTCTCTGCATTCCCCCACTTGCCTCCACAAGTGATTAGTGTAGAGATCTGATTGGAGGCCCAAGTGTCTTTCCTACCCTTGAGGCTGAGAGAATGAAGACTTAAGAGCAGAGTGTTTTCCTCCAACCTGGTCCCTCTTGAGGATTTTGATAGCCTGGTCTTTAACCACAGGCACAGAATGAGAGACTCCTTTTACTTTCACCAAATAAAGGAGCTAGTCATTAATAATATCTTGGAGGCCAGCCCTGAGCACAGTAAACCAATAGGAAAAAAAGCACTGCCATCTGAACAAGAAAGATGGACACATTGAACAATCAGAAATTACGCTCCATGGAAAAGAACTACTGGAGAAGATAGAGTAACACTTGAAATTTTATTATTTTAAAATTTATTTATTTTGGTATGATTGGGGTCTTGCTGTGTTGCCCAGGCTGCTCTTGAACTCCTGGCCTCAAGTGATCCTCCTGCCTTGGCCTCCCAAAGCATTGGGATTGCAGGTGTGAGCCACCACCTGGCCTCTCACTTGAAATTTTAAAATGATTTAAAAAGTACTTAAGATTTGGAAAAGTCTTATTGGGCTTGAAAAGAGTTTTTCAGACTGAAAAGTTTTAAAGACGGTGGTCACAATTGAGGCTTGAATTAAAGGTAGAAGATTAAGTGTAGGAAATTATCTCAAAGCATAAGACTGAAAGATAGAAAACATGAAGAAGATAAGAGACTTTGAAGGATGCATTTAACATGTATTATACAAGTACTTGGAGGGTCATATCCAATTGAGAGAAAAAAGAATGAGGAAGAATTAAAGTATTTTAGTAGGAAAACAAGGTCTCAGTGATCTAGAAAGACTTGATATTTGTTTTATAAATAATAACAAAGTTATTTAAGAGGGAGAGATATTTATTAATGGGAAGTATAAGCACAGTAGAGTCTCATATTTAAAAGGAAGAGAATAGTGTAATAAAATTAGATCAAACTAACAAATATTGGGAGAAAAGAGAAAGTATAATTAAAGGTAGAAATAATATTCAATACACTAAAAGTACATTGAATGAAATAATTCATTGAAGACAAAGATGGGTTTAAATAAAAGGCACAGTTTATATAGGAAAGGCCAGATAAATTCTAGAGTGTTTTTTTTTTTAATTTACCAATTTTCATAACTGGTTGCTTTTCTAATATCCACCAAAAAAGATCATTTAAGTTTTTTAGTATCCTATGACAAAAATATTTTAATGTATTTGATTTGTTTAAGTCAATTGCAGACATTATTTTCTTTTATGTTCAAGTTGCCCATCTTTCTAGGAGCCCTGATGCCTTTGTGTTGGAGATAGTATATAGTAACCACAGTCTAGAGGTGCTCATAATTATGAAGCTGCTCATTGTTTCTTGGCCTTTTCAATGAACAGAGCATCTTAAATATTTTATGCTCCAGCCCACAAGTCAGCCATTTCTCCAAGGAACCCTGGCTTCTTTCAGTGGAGAATGATGTTTAGAAATTACTATTTGGGCACTGTGTTTGCTCATTGTTGCTGGGGTGACATGACTCCTGGTTCTTAGTGAACTGAACTGGGAAATAGATGTGTGTATACACACACAGCTGTTTCTAGATCTTGATATGTATATTAAAAGTCATTGACCACTTCTTAATACCTCAGAATCTAGTACAATACTATAGAATTTCTTCTGGCTTTCTCATTTTCCATATTTGCAACTTGCTTCTCTGACAGAGATCAGTGAGAGATCTCATTATACAAATATATGTCTAATAGTTAATGTTGATTCACTGTTTTAAATTTTTATATTTTTGTTCGTTTGCTCTTACCAATACAGTTTCATTTGTCACCAGTCTCTTTTATGGTTTTCCTAACTTAATTTCTCATTCTTTCCTGACTCTAACTTTCAATTCTTTATTTTCTTGCAGAACTGCAAAAATTAATGTATATAATATGTTCTCATTTGTGTAAATTAGATATGCATATACACATGTATAGCAAGTATGTGCACAGCAAGTTTTCTAGGATACCTAAGATATAGCTGACTGATTAGCTTTGGATAAGGGACCTCATAACGGATGCAGAGTGTGGTAGAGACTATTGTTCATACGTAAGTTTCTGTGTGAACTTTTAGTCATTTGCCTATATTCTTTTTTTTTTAAGTTACAGTAGTTTTCAAAACACTGTGATGTCTGGTTTGGTTTGGTTGGCTAGGAAAAGTAATTTATATAAATTTGTCTTCATAATTTGTGCATGAGGTATCCATATTTCCAAAATGAAAAATAGTAAATAATGATGATTTTTTTTTTTTTTTTTTTTTTTTTTGAGACAGAGTCTCACTGTGTTGCCCAGGCTAGAGGACAGTACTGTGATTTTGGCTCATTGCACCCTCCGCTTCCCAGGCTCAGGCAGTCCTCCTGGGTCAGCCTTCCGAGTAACTGGAAGTACAGACGTGAGGCACTATGCCTGGTTAATTTTCTGCATTTTTTGTGAAGACAGGGTTTTACCATATTGCCAGTGATCTGTCCACCTCATCCTCCCAAAGTGTTGGGATTACAGGTGTGAGCCACCATACCCAGCCTCCAGGGATATTTTTAAAATTATGAATAAGTTTGCATGAAATCTTACAAAGAAATTTAAATCAAATAATATATATTTAACTCCTAAAAAGAATTCGTGGAAAAAAAATAAATTACCTTATAATACTTAGTAGTTCTATGCTAAGCACTTACATGAATTATTTATGTAATTGTTATGGTAATTCTATGAGGTGCCTATATTATTGCTGTCTCTATTTTGTAAATAAAGTAACAGACTCAGAGAGCTGAAGTAACTGCTCAAAGGCTACAAGTAATAAGTGGTAGAGCCAGTATTCATGCTTATCTAATTTTGGAGTCTCCGTTTCTAACCTTACCACATTATTTAAAAAAATATATATATATAGCAGAGTAGATTCTTCTGTGAAATGTAATTCAACTCTGAATTGTTGATTTCTTTGATCCAATAATACCTTATGAAAAGACATGAAGTTATATTTTTACTTCCCAATGGAAGACACCATTTTTAGTCATTATAAGATGTATTTATGAGAAGAAATCTGAGTATTACATGTGTAGAGGATTTGGGGGTAAAAGCACTATTAAAGTACCCACAATTTTAAAAATTCTACCTTTTTCCAATCTAGAGCCTGTTAGAAGTACTGTACTACATTGCTTCATTAAGTACAATGAGTAAAATAACAACCTAATTATTGTTGGCTAAGAATCTGGCATAAAAGACCCTTATAAATCATATTTTAGTATTAAACTTGACATAATAATAATAAGAATGGTAGTTAATATTTACTAGTCATTTACTGTGTTTTGAATACTGCGTTGGATTACCTTATTCCTTTCAACAGTCCTATGAAGCTAGTACTATTGTTTTTGTTTTATAGCCTATTAAGCTCATTAACTTAATGTTTTATAGCCTATTAACTTAAGGGGGTTATATAACTGCCTAGGACTTCACAGTAGTGATGAAAGTGGATTATGAGCCCTTACTCCAAGTTGTTTTTACCACTCATACATTTAATATAGATGAAGTGGTATTTGAAACAAAAAGTGAATCATGAAACTTCTTTTTAGTCAGTTTTCTTTATGGGTATATGTTCTTTTATTTCCTTTAGGTTCACAATATTCTTGCAGAAATGGTGATGGGGGGAATGGTATTGGAGACAAACATGAATGAGATTGTTACACAAATTGATGCACAAAATAAGCTGGAAAAATCTGAGGTAAGAATGGAAAATGCTATAGTTAAGAAAGGTTCTAAGCATGATGACAGATTACGCATGATTTGTAGCTTTCACTGTTTGTCCTTCAGTATCACCCTTTAGGTTCAGCCGTTATGCTTATTCAGTTTTTAAAAAATTGAATATACACATATTAGTATGCTAAAGGTTCTGTGACTATTATCTGCCAAACAGCTTTGTGTATTCTTCTTTTAGCCACAGTCATAGCTGCCTTGGGTAATAAGCACAATTCCAAATCTTATTGCTTAAAAGAATTATCTGAATAATGGAATCTAATATTTGCTTTGTAAAACGTCAGTAATTATCAAGGAAGTCTTAGAACTAATATTTTAAAGATATATAAATTTTGTGTTACAAAACTACTTCTGGAAAGGGCAGGGACAGGAAATGGAATTCTTATAAGGAAGTAAGTAATGTTTCAAGTTATAAATAAATGCCTAGCATGTTTGAGTTCACATTCAAAAAAGAAATTCAATACCTTAATCTTTTAATTCTAGATCTTTCCCTAAGATTTCACTGACAAGTTAGTTAAGTCACATATTTTAGACATTGGTACATATATATCCGTGGTTTTTATTGCATTCTATAGGATTGGTTTGTTATACTTAGCTAACTTTCTGCTGTTAGATTCAACCTTAGATTGGATAAATGAGGAACAACCAGCACTTTAGCATTGTATAAAAACCCTACTTCAGAATTTTAGTGACTCTTCCCTCAAGCACTAGTCTGAATATCAGTAGCAGGTGCTGTAGCTGAGCCGCCCGGGCTCACATTATTTGGGTTGTTTATTACCCTAGCAGAGGTTTAGAAAGAGCAATAGTTTTATCACTTGAGGTCAGGAGTTCGAGACTGGCCTGGCCAACATGGTGAAACCCTGTCTCTACACACACACACAAAAAAATTAGCTGGGCATGTAGAGCGCACCTGTAATCCCAGCTACTCGGGAGGCTGAGGCACAAGAATCACTTGAACCCTGGAGATGGAGGTTGCAGTGAGCCAAGATCACGTCGCTGCACTCCTGGGCGACAGAGTGAAACTTCATCTCAAAAAAAAAAAAAAAGATCAATAATTTTTTGATATCTCATTCACCACCCAGCTGGTTTGAGGATACTCTTACATTTGGTATTTGCAGTCATAACTCAGATTGGAAAAAACAAACTTTATTTATAATTATTAGTGTTAAGCTCAGATGTTCTGTTGATTTAAAGTAAATATTACTATGAAAACATCAAGGTATTAAAAATACACTGGCATTAATTTACAACAGGTGAGTTCTGAAAAATTTATCTTGTTGGCATTTTAAAGGATCAGTTTAACTCAATTCTGTGCCCATTTTAATTGAAGAAAACGCAGAATGAAGAATAAATTTGAAATCTAGAAACAGTTGAAGCTTTCTTATAAAAACATTTTCCAATGTTCTCTTTTAAATAAAATAGTATTGCATTTTTATCTCAATTTCCCATTCCTGTTGGTTTCCCAAAGGAGAAGTTTATAATGGTGATTTAGAGCTAAGATTCTCTTAAGTAACTATACATTTTGTTTGTCCTATAGCCAATTTTTAAAATACTGGCTTTTGAAAGTGGAAAACATAAATTAGGTTAATAGAGAAAATTTTGTTTTGGGACAAGGAAAAAGACTCATAATTTAATTTAGTATAACTGACTTGCAATATATTATTTAGTAAAGAAAAGGTTACTGTAAACCCTGAGCTATTGCTTTTAAAGTTTTAAAAGAACTTAAAATATGTGTCATTTGTTAAACATTGCTTTGCAAAACTGTATGGTTATAGATTTTAAATGCCAAGGGACAAACAGTTATGCAATCCTTTAATAACTGGTATAATGAATGAGTATCTAGTAATTTGTGAATTCTGTATAATCATCTTTAAAAAGTATGACCAGTTGTCTGGAATTTTCACCTTTCCAGGTACTTAACTCCTTTCCATTGGTGGTGGTCCTTCTTTTTCTTCTGCTACTTAACACATTTATGCCTAGTGTTCCGTTATTGGAATGCTAAGCTTGTGGGAGTTATTTGTATCCTACTGTTCAGGGTCATCCCCAAGGTCTGATTTTTCACAAAAAAAAGTTTGCAACCTCTGACATAAATGGGTTAATGTGCTATATTGACGAAAGTCATGAAGGACCTATAATTATTGCATAATGGGTATTTGCTTTTTGATTGTTGAATAAAACTTCGTTAATGAGGCAATTTTTCTTATCTATAAAGAGCAGTAAAATGTAATTTACATTTCAATGGAAATAGTTATAAGAATACTATAACTTAAAATCCATTCACAGAAATAATGCTATTTAAAATAGTTTAGAATACTGGTGATTACTTCTATTTTTCATTCCCTGATCATCTTGCATCATACATAATTGTTAGCTGGTACCAAATTAGTTTCTCTTTTTTTGTCTTTTACAAGAAAGTATGTTTTAAGTTTGATTGGAGATAAACCACAAAATTATATATTTTCTATACATGTAATGTCTGCTAATATTTTAGTTATGAAATCGGATTTCAAATCAAAGTGAGGCCATTTAGTCCTGATCATCTTTTTAAAACAGCTCTGAAAAGTATGATGACTAATTTTTCAGTAGCTTTCATATATTTTAAGTATGTTTGAACGACGTCTAGCTTTATTCCAGAAACATTGAAATGTCAAAAGCTTTCATATGTTTCATGTCCATGTTACTTCAATTGGTTAAATTTATCAGAGATATTACTCTGCAGAATAATCCAAAATTACTTGAAAGCAAAGTATAAACTTTTACTAATCTTCTTACTAAATTTCAGTTAAAATTTATTATATAAGCATAAACTTAAAGACTTGTTTGGCTGGGCGCAGTGGCTCACACCTGTAATCTCAGCACTTTGGGAGGCCAAAGCAAGCAGATCACCTGAGGTCAGGAGTTTGAGACCAGCCTGGCAAACATGGTGAAACCCCGTCTCTACTAAAAATACAAAAAAAAAAAATTATCCGGGCATGGTGGTACTTGCCTGTAATCCCAGTCGCTCTGGAGCCTGAGACACAAGAATCGCCCGAATCTGGAAGGCGGAGGTTGCCGTGAGCCAAGATTGCACCGATGCACTCCAGCCTGGGTGACAGAGTAAGACTCCATCTCAAAAACAAACACAAAAAAAGACTCGTTTAAAATCAAGAATGTCATGATTGATGAAAAGAACTGGTTATCAATATTTTACATCATTTAAGTAATATTTTAGGAACATCATTTATCTTTAAAAATCATTCTGGGTATAATTAAAACACAGCTTTTGAAACATAACATGCATTTATCTAGGGGCCTTTGTCAGAAATCAAAGCTTTTATTATGTTGGTCTAAAGTTAGTACATTTCTGGTAATGGAAAAAAGTGTCAATTTAATTCCCAATACCTAGACAGGTAGAGCAAAGCTCTCCCAGATCCTGAAAGAGAGAAGCAAAGATATACTCTGAATGTACTTCCATCTGTTCTGTTTTGATAGAAAAATGGTTTACTGTAACATTGGAATATTGGGAGAGGAGGGTTTAAGCTGGGAGGGTGATGGGATTCGGGGCAAGTATAAGAGGCACTCAGGAACCTGCCTAAGAATGAAAGGACTCCCTGGGGGTGGAGGTAGAGGGGTGGGGTTGGGGAGATCTGTTAGCTTTTATGTATTTCATGTTATTCTTAAGATGGATAAATGAGTCTGAATTTAGTCACTACTTTTTGAAAGTCAGTCCTCTTTTTTTTTTCCGAACATCCTGATCTTTCTAGCTCTTTCCATTCTTCTCTCTTACAGACCTTTATCTTTCAGTCTCCCAGACAGGACAGGTAGACAAGGTATTGCTGACTTTGAGAAATATGTGCTATAACAAAGGGAAAGCAAAATGATGTCAAAGGCAATTAATTATTTAGGCCAGACTCAAAAATTCTTTGTGTTAATAAACCCATATAGTCCCTGTAGCCTATTTTCCATTCTAGTTTCTCCTTGTAGTTTCTTCATCTTTTATTGGACTTAGTGTATTTTACTAGTATATCATTAATGTCATGTTTGTTCTGTTTTGTCTGCCTGCATTGTAAAAGGAAAGTTTAAATTTTTTTTAAACATTGTCATCTAACTGACAAATTGCATTTGCAGAAATGACAATTTACTTTGTGTATAGAAACGTAAAATTTATTTTGAGCATCATATAGCAGAACCAATCTTAATTTAACTCTCACAGATTTGTTTTTTTTCCATCTCTAAATTAGGATTCTAACATAAAATTGCCTGCTGGGTTTTGGAAGCTGTGAATTTAAAAACCAAAAGCTGAACCTTCAGAGTTTTGCATACAAAATGGGAAGCAGTGAAGGCTTAGAATAGTGACTGTTAAATAGTACTTTTTCCCCTCAAATGGTTTTCAGTTCCAAAGTCTTAACAGAATTCCTTTTACAGTTTTGACCTGCAGGTGCATATTAACAGTGGCCAACAGAAAATAAGATCAGAAACCTTATAAAACTTGACTGTATTTCAAACTTGAATGCTCTAAAAATGGAATTAAATATATTGACCAAAATACAATGGGTTTTCATTGTAGCAAACCTTCTGACATCCAAACATGTCATAATCAGAATCAGTAAAAATACATTAATGCTTTAGTTAGTATTGATTAAAAAACCCTGAATATTTTTGCAAAGCATATTGACAAATATTGGAAATGTTTTTAATAGACCTCTAGTTTTACAAAACTAACTTTTCTTCTGATATTTCCTGTATATTTGTTTCACACCATAAATTAACTGTTAATTACTTTTTTAAAAGTTCCATGTATGTGGTGATGAGCAACTCTTTTGTGTAAAACCATGTAAGAAAGCGAAATGTTTATAAGGTCTCTGATTGAAAATTTCAAAATAAAAGTAATTTATTGAGTCCTATGGAGAAAAAAATGTGTAAACTTACAAAGTTAGATTATGCACCTTACTAATTAGAAAAACATCACTGAGAATTGATGATTGTGGT